TGCATATAACAACAGTTATCAATTCAGTATACAGATAGCCCCATTTGAGGCATTGTATGGCCGACGATGTCGGTCACCAATTAGTTGGTTTGAGGTTGGGAAGTCAAATTGTTCTGACCATATTTGATTCGGGACATTGTGGACAAAATCCAATTGATTAGAGAGAGGTTGTATGTGGCACATAGTAGATAGAAGGCTTATGTGAATTACCGACGTTGCCCTTAGAATTTGCAGTTGGAGATCACATTTTCTGAGGGTTTCTCCAATGATGGCATGGCCAGATTTGGAAAGAAAGGGAAACTTAGTTCCCATTATATTGGTCTGTATGGGATATTGGATCGAGTTGGAGCTGTGACATACCGTTTGGCCCTTCCTCCGAATTTGTTGATGGTACATCCTGTATTTCATGTTTCTATATTGAGAAAATATGTTCCAGATCTGTCGTATGTGATTTCATCAAAGGATGTTCAATTGAGTCAAGATTTGTCATATGAGGAGAAGCCAGTGGCTATATTAGATCGACAGGTGAAGTGGCTTCATTCGCAAGAGATATCTTCTGTGAAAGTACTTTGAGAAGTCAAACCTCAGAAGATGTTACTTGGGAATCTAAGGAGACTATGTGCAAGAAATATCCACAATTGTTTGATATATAACTTATTTCTCTATTTTAAAATTTGGGGACGAATTTTTATAAAGGGGGAAGAATGTAATAACCCAATTTTAATAAATAATAAGAATTTATTAAATTAATATAATTAGGAGCTTGTTTGCGAAAATTAGAATTTTGTGGGCTTAATTTGGAAATATTAGAAGTTTGGGGTCGATTTGGGAAATTTGGAAAGTATGAGTTTCCATTAAAATTTGTCAGGGATTAAATTGAAGTAAAACAAAATTTGAGGACTAGATCTAAAGAAAACAGAAAATTTGGTCCAAATCGGTGGCCGGAACTTTTGACGCCGAATTTGCCGCGATGGTTGAAGTTTTTGGTAAATTGTTCACACTGTTGTGTGTGTATTTAAGAGACGAACGAAAGCACTCTCTCAATTTTGGAAATCGGGTGAGTTTAGATAAAGAAATTGAGAGTTTTATCGTAGTCGGATTCCGTCCATAATCTGCGACAAATTCGACAAATTTTTTTGGGGTTTGATCAGTTTTTAATCCGATTAAAGACTTTATTGAGGAGCGGTGGAATTTACCTCGCGTTTTTGGAGGAAAAACGATTGAGCTATGTATTTTCGGATTTTTTTTACATTTTTTTCGTTGTTTTCTTCATTCGGATTGTATAGACCCGAGTCTGCGAACCCTGAAATTCCGAGCAAGCACGAAGGGACCCAGTTGATTCGGGTCCCCCCCCTTGAACGGGTTGCAAGCCTGTCTGAGCCATTGGGCTTGGACTAGCCAACAGGCCAGGCGGCCTGCGGACTGGAAGCCGCGAGCCAGCCTTTTATATATAAAAAAAAAAATTGAATTGATGCGGTCGGTGGCTCGAGCCGGCTGAGCGAGCAGCTAAGTCGAGTCGCGGTTATATAAAAAAAAAAAAAAAAAAGAGAGGAAGAAAGAAAAAAAGAAAGAACAGTTGACCGACCTAGCCAGTGGGTTTGACCAGCTGGTTCAGTGGTCAAATGATCTCGGAATTGGGAAGTTGAGCTAGTTTTGGAATCAGGGAGAAAAGACCTACTGAATCGAGTTGGTTCGAGGGTTCGGGGAGGTCCGGTTCGACCAAAAATTTAGTATGATTTGATTAAACCAGCCCGATTCAAGGTAGATTAATGATAAATTGGCTAGTTCAACTTTATTTTGACCCATTTTTAACCGGTTCATAGTGGTTTCTAGGGTTTTTGGGCCTTCTGAATTTGATTTTGAGGGTTTCGTGGCCAAACGAGTTCGGGATGAGGTAGTTTTAGGCCAGTTCAAGGGTTTTTAGCGGTCGGTTCATTGTGGTTCGGGATTTTAAGGGTTGGTTCACTATTGTTAAGGGTTGTTGAGTAAGAATCGATGGTATTAGTGAGTTGTGTGAGTCCCATGATAGGTTTTGGTGCTTTGGAATGTGTGCCAAGGGTCCTGGAATGGGATTTGAGCTGGCTCGGGCTACTAAGCCCGTTTCTTGTGTTAATTTTGGGATTGGTGATGATTTTGTGTGGTTTTGACTCCAGATACGGTTGAGGAGGTATACCTTGACCGGTGAGTCGGGTGGAGGCGACTCGGGACTTCTCTATTGGCTTGGTTTCTATATTGTGAGTGGTGATACCCTCTTTATGCTTGTGTTTTCATACTGTGGTTTTCTGACATGATGACGATGATGTGATTTAGGAACTGTATTTTGATTATATTACACTCGGGGATATGTGTTATGTGTTTTATGAACTGTCTGTGAGTTATGTTGATATATGATACTGGCTTTTGAGATGGAACTGTATATTGAGTATGTATACCTGTTTTTGATATATACGTGAGGTTGGTATATTGAGATGTGTTTGGGGATGCCAGGTGGCTCGGGTGGAGGACGGCGATGCTGTAGCGTCCAGTGCGAGGGCCCTGCATTTGAGATGATGCGACGGGGACCGCAGGCGACAGAGGCCGCAGACATGTTACGTACTGTCATGTTGTATTGGGATGGCAGGCTCAGCCGACGGAGGTGGGTCGTAGTGTGCAATGAGTGCCTTAGACTCAGCGATGAGATAAGTTTTGAGGCCAAAGGCTCCACCCGCGGATGGTGTGCTGCCATAGCGTGCGGGGAGTATACTAGCCCAGTGATGTGATTATGATAACTGGTTATGTCGATACCTCACATATGTATGTTTTGATATTGAACTACTCACTGTATTTATATGTGTTAAAATGGTTTTTGGAACTTGTGGTATGATGCATATTCCAACATGCATAGACTAGGTATCATCGGTACTCACTGAGTTTTGCGACTCACTCTTTTATTATCATTCCAGATTAAGTTGGCTGTTCGTATTTCAGTTAGTGGAGATTTGACTTGAGCTCCAAATTTCGAGTGACGAACGGGCACATTTTATTATATTACTGTTTTGTACTTTAGATTACTCATTTGTTATTCTCAGACAGGATTCTAGTTTGTATTTAAGGATTAATTTTGTATGACGTACTTCATAATAATCATATGATTTGATGATTTAAATCATGTGAGAGTGTTTTGAGGTTGACTAGGATCGGTGGATCTTAGTGCCGATCACGGACCCCGGATCGAGGCGTGACAAAAATAAAATAAAAAATAAATTAAATAAAAATGTTTAATTTACGCCAATTCAGCATATGACGCATGTAATGAAAAGAAAATATAAATAAACAAAAAAAATTACAACTCCAAAATGAGTTATATAAATTACATCACATAAGTACGTTTGAGGAATTTTTGAAGGGGTAAAAAATAAATTTCTCCATCATTTTATTATTTGTTTTGTTTCTAACTTAATAAAATATGAATAAGAGGGGTTTAATTAAAACAAATAATTAAAAATTTTTAAAATAAAAATTTCCAAATCTAAATTTCATCAAATCTTATCAATTTTGACAAAATTTCAGCAAGTTAAACGAGACTAATCGAATTCTATAAAATTTATTTTTTATTTTTTATTTTTTATCCATAGAGTAAAAATAAGATTTTGAAATTTAAATCTTATGATATTCTAGATTATCATATATAATATATAGAATAACATATTTTTATTTTTAAACTAATATTTAATAAATCATTAAATTAATTAAATTAATTTTCAATATAGTAAAATTATCAATAAGTCATTTTTACATAAAAAATAAATATAAAAACTTAAATTTACTTTAAAAACTTATATATTTAAAGAAATTTTAATTAATATAAGTATTTACCTTTTCTTTCTGAAAATAAAAGGAAGGTGGCAGCTGGCTTCGGCCGCTGCCAAGGTTTTTTCCACCTATAAAAAAGTCCCGCATTTTTCCTACCACTCCAGACCCAAAATCTGAGCTGAGTGAAAATTTAAAGAATTCTTTGGAATCTAACGAAGTCTCCACATGCAAGGTACCGTCAGCCATTCATACAGGTACTCAATTCTCCCTGCAATTATAATACATTCGAGTTCTCAATTTGGGCTCCTTGTTTGGTTCCGAAGAAAGTTCACCCAAATTTCGCCGCCTTCTCAATTCTTGAGCATTCGTTAGTTGACTAAAAAGGCAAATACCCTGACATCTTGATGTTTCTCTTCCCTCCCGAGTATTTCTCGGCTGCCAAACTTTACAGCATGGGTAATCACCCACTTCCTCTATCGATCTGAAAATTGCAGAAACGTTGACGTCGGTTGCGATTTCCTGGTATGTTCAAATTCCAGTTGATTCTTTAGCTTATACTGCGTTGGGTCAACCTCTGATTTTGTATGGTTCTAGGGTTTTTAGCCGAAATTCTTAATTATATTATGCAGTTCCAGAACTGTTTGGTGTGATTACTGAGATAATGTGTTTAGTGCACATTAAGCTGTAAATTTAGGTTCTTGCTACTTGTTCTTCAACTTTTAATTGTTGAATTTTGTTGCATCTTTGAGTTTCAGTCGAAGTTTTATGTATATGTTGTTTAGCTGCTTAGAGAACAGAGTAGGACAAAAATTCCAAGCCTTTTTGAAGCCAAAGATGTTCATGTACTATTAAATGTTGTATTTTATTTCAATCGCAATTCTGTTTGCATTAAATAAGAAAAATTAGCAAAAAGGGGAGACAGAATATAACTATTGAAGATGTAGTGTTCTTGCTAAACATGCATGGTCTTAATGAATTTCACTGTTTTAGTTTTAATCTGTCAACCTGTAGTGCAGATTGAAGTTTGAAATCGTGTAATATACTGATAACTGAATATTCATCTCTTTGTATATCCCTTTTCACTTTGTTTGAGACTTAAAAAGATGGCATATCTTATCAAATATTTTGTTGCTAAAAATTTTCAGGGGTAATAGAGGTCAGCAGAACTTCATCTATCCATTAACAAAGTGTTTCTATCAATTCTCAGTATGGGTCATGAATTTCGTCACTTTCTCCAAGGGGAATCCAGGAGACTTATATGGGTAATTGGGATAATTTTTTCCCTCATTCTAGTGGTCCAATACTTTGAGCTTCCATATGGCAGTGTTGTATCATCTTTATTTTATGCTAACCAGACTCAAGCAATGGGAAAAGCTGCTGTTAACCCCATAGTAAAAGGCAATATTACAAGTTTTGATGGTCCGAATGCCACTGATGTCAATGCTATTCAAAATATTGCTAATGCAACCAAGTCCTCAGGAGGCAATAACACAAGCCTTGAGAATGATTTTCTATCAGAAAGGAATGGAGGCTCCAATAGTTCTCTTGATTTATCTGATGATGCTGATCCCGAGGATGAATCCCCAACAGAGAGGTTCATTGATGAGCCTAGCCAAAATTTAACCATGGAGAAGACGGTAACAGATAATGGCTTAGCGTCAAGGGAAATTAAAGAATATGCAAACAGCACCCCTCCAAATAATTTTCATGCTGATAAGAATTCTTCATTAGGCCGTATTCAGGAGGCCATCATCCATTTCACAGAAGAGAAAAATGGAACAGATTCTGCTCCTGCTCCTTCACTTACATTACCACCAACAAGTTCCATATCTGATTTGAAATCCCCAGCAAAATTGAATATGACATCACAGGGTCCTGTGATGTCTGTTTATCCTAATGCATCTTCTCCATCTAATGATGTGGACCCATTTTCCAATGATGGAAAATCTGAGCAAATGCAACATGATGCTGTTCAGTCAGATAATATTTTTCCTCACACTACTGTTCCTGCCGTGAACAAAAAGCCTGACTTGTCAACAAAAGCTGTGTTGTCTTTATCTGAGATGTATGATTTACTGCTTCAGAGTCATGCCTCATCATTGTCAATGGTACGTGCAAGTCCTCAATTTACCATTGGTCAGAGAAGATTGAGTTCACTGCATGAGGATCCCAACTTAATTCCTTTTCCTGATTGTCTGTAGAAACCCCGATGGTCTTCAGCAGTTGAGCAAGATTTACTAAATGCAAAGTCACAGATAGAGAGTGCTCCTGTCATAGAAAATGATCCTGAACTTGATGCTAACATCTATCGGAATATTTCCAGATTTAAAAGGTAAGCATGTTAAGTCATGCTATTCTACTTCGGGCATAAAATATCCATGTGTTGTTTGTAGCTGCAGATAGATTATCTTGGCCGCTACACTATCTTGGATGTGTGTATTTGACTGAACATAAACCCATTGACACCCTACTGTCACCCATAACAACTATTGGCCTGTTTTTCTGTTTGTGTCCTAAAATGTTATTGTAAAACAAGCCTTTGAAATGAAAATTTCTTTATTTCCTTTTTCCTTTCATGTTCTTTCTGTTGACTGTCTAATAACAGTATATAAAGCCAGTTTATGATTTTCATGACCTAAAATATTACCTCGTTACTTCCATTGTTCCCTCACATGATTTTGGTCGTAATTTAATGTATTATTTCTTTGAAAGTTTGAACAGCCTGTAGTCTTATGTCTCTGCTTGACTTAGCAAGTTCACTAGTTGGCAACTCTTCAAGTGCTTGTTATATGCAATTTTAGGGAGAGGGTCCAATCACAGAATCACTGTCTTCTGTGATTGTGATTTATGGTTGCAATAAATAAAATGATGTAGTTAATATGTGTTTAATGACTTTAGTGAAGTATATATGAGTATAACTTATTTCTCTTGATATGTGGTTTGTCTGGCTAAATGATGCAGCATCAGTTCAGAAAGGCACGCACACACAAACACACATACAGTGGTTTTGGCTTAATATATTTGATGTTCTTTACTTTATATATATAAGGATATATAACCACAGTAGATAGTTTCCTCATTTCCTGGCTTGAAAGGGGTGGATAAGTGGCTATATGAAATACTTCTTGTCTTTATAGTCTTCATTTTTTTGTTTTGGGACAGGGTGCTTTTGTAGTTTTATGTAGTAGAGGAGGTTCTGTTACCTTATTTGGGTACTGGATTAGTTGCAAGGGCAATCCTAGACTTGCACTAGGGACCTCACCCATGAAGTAAATCATTGCATCTACAGTCTGAGAGAGAATCAAAAGATTCCTTTCTGAAAGCAGTTCGTCCTTGCTGAACATTGCATGCAACTCTCCCTCGTACTCCACTCTTCATTTGTGCTTGTTCCCCTTTCTTCCTTACCATGGCAAGTCTTTGTGAAACAACTCCAATGAGAAGAAAAAAGTTGTTAAGAGAGATAATTATATTCTCATGATCAAGGATATTTAAGATTTTTTGCATAGATGAGCTTTTTGAGTACTTGTTGCGATTCGTTACTAGTTCTAGTTTGATACAAATGTATATTTTTTGGGAATTTGTTGGAATAATGTTCCTATTTATTAATAGGGTTTTGGTTTACACAGCTTGTTGCACAAATGCTTGTCAAAAAGTGTCTGGAAAAGAAAAGATGGTATATTACTTACTTGCATGTATCTTTTATGGCGTTAACTAGATAAAAAATGGGTTTGCTGAGAGAGACATACTCCTCACTTTTCCATTCCAATAAAACAAAAGGAATTTTAGAATCTCTTGTTGTCTCATCTTTTCCTTTTCTAGTCTTTTACTTACCCAATCTTTTTAATAAATCCAAGAGCCAAGAACCAGAGTTTAATAATTTGCAAGAAGGTCCTCTTTGATCTGTTGTAATGGTAGTGATTTAAGAGTCTTTAACATATTCTTTATGTAATTTCATTTCCTGTATTTTCTTATAGCACATCTACACTGTTCCTAAAGTTTTTAGCACTGCTTCTTTGATTTGTCAAAAGCACAAGTGTTTAAATATTCGAATATCATCAAATTTGCAGGAGCTATGAATTGATGGAACAAACACTTAAGGTTTATATCTACAAGGAGGGAGGGAGACCCATTTTTCATACGACAGTGCTGAAAGGAATATATGCTTCTGAGGGCTGGTTCATGAAGATTCTAAAAGCTTCAAAATTTGTCACTAAAGATGCACGAAAAGCTCACTTATTTTATTTGCCTTTTAGTTCTCGAATGCTAGAGGAGACTCTATTTGTGGCTAATTCACACAGTCAGGATAACTTGGTAGAATATCTGAAGAACTACCTTGATATGATTGTGGCAAGACACAACTTCTGGAACAGAACTGGTGGAGCTGATCATTTTCTTGTAGCCTGTCATGACTGGGTACTGATTTGCACCTTTCATTTTAATCTTCTAAAGGACCTACAATAAGAAAACTTGGGAAAAGAAACAAATTCCTGAAACCACTAAAAATGAGTCCATTTTCAAGCATTTTTCTTTGCAGGTCATCCAATATTAATCTCTCTCTCTCTCTCTCTCTCCCAGGCTCCAGCTGAAACAATGAAAATAATGGCTACATGCATAAGGGCTATGTGCAACGCTGATGTCAAAGAAGGCTTCATATTTGGCAAGGATACTTCTCTTCCAGAAACATATGTTCGAAAGCCTCAGAATCCCCTAAGAGATCTTGGAGGCAAGCCTCCTTCCCAGCGGAAAACCCTAGCTTTCTTTGCTGGCAGCATGCATGGATATCTCCGTTACATCTTGTTACAGCACTGGGAAAACAAAGACCCTGATATGAAAATATTTGGCAAGATGCGAAAGGTGAAGGGCCAGATGAATTATGTCCAGTACATGAAGAGCAGCAAATACTGTATATGTGCAAAGGGTTATGAAGTAAACAGTCCACGTGTGGTGGAGGCCATCTTCTATGAATGTGTCCCAGTTATCATATCTGACAATTTTATCCCTCCTTTTTTTGAAATTTTGAACTGGGAATCATTTGCTGTTTTTGTTGCTGAGAAAGATATACTGAATTTGAAAAACATATTGCTTTCAATCCCAAATCGGAGGTATTTGGAGATGCAAAAGAGGGTGAAGAAAGTACAACAGCATTTCCTTTGGAATACTAAGCCTGTGAAGTATGATATCTTTCATATGATACTCCACTCAATATGGTATAATCGAGTTTTCCGGGTACAACCAATATGACATTTCAGAAGTTGAAAAGACAGGGATTCACTGTTAAAGGAGCCAAAACATTTGTTTTCCTTCATAGTTTTTTGACAGGGATTTGTGATAGTAGATGTTTATAGGACAGAATTCATTCTTAGGAGCCAATACTTTTTCCTAGCCCTTTCCAGTTTTTGATGGGGATTTTGTACGTTGTCCGTGCAGTAATAATTCCTTTTTTCTTTATGTAATCTCTCTCTCTAAATAAAATAAGGGAATCATATTTTGCTTTTAGTCTCTCTTTCTCTGTCTTCATCTTGTAATGATGTGCGAGATATGTTCTGAGCAGTACAAAAACTCAAATAGTGTATTGCTGCTCTTTTAATCTTGACATTCACCATTCTTTTTAAAAGCAAATTGAAGGCAACAAGTGCTTAATTAACAAAAGGCCCCTAAAGAATCAACTAATCACAAATTTCCAGTTGTTTGACCCAAGGATATGTGTGTAATTTACGCTTAAAAGTACGGGGGAAAAGAAACTGACCTTTGAATATAGGGTGCTAAGTGTAATTTTGCCAAATGGAGAATACAGTTGGATCTAACGGCGTCATGATGTCATAAGCGCACGAACTTTTGGGACATTGATAATCGATCCAATCCGTTAAAGTTTATTGAAAATACACACAGCGATGCATCAGCACTTGCCACGTGTATCTGTCATGACTTTTTTACGTGAAATTTAGTGCCATGAATCATGAGTCCTCAGTTAGGCGAGAGTATTTCTCCAAAGGGAGGGTCCTATCTAAGTGTCTGTAAGCTCGCCCACCAAGCCATCCAAATTTCTACCACTCGCTCTCTCTCTCTCTCTCTCTCTAATCAATGGTAAAATAGTAAACTACCATAGCGGTAAATGAGGAAACAATTTGTCTTTTAGAAAAACATTTGTACATTTTTCATCCAAATTTATTTCTTTATTAAAAATGTTATCTTCGGCATGCATAAAATATCACTTTTACAGTAAAAAATAGGAATGTTTAAAATTAATTCAAACTAATTAAACTGACTTAATTCAAATTAAATTGATTAAAAACTTATTAAAACTGAAAAAAAATTAGTTTAATTCAATTTTAAAAATATTAAAATTTATCAGCTCAATTCGATGGTCATTTAAAAAAAATAACCGAATTAGATGGAACTAATCATATATATTAAGTTAAACAAAAAAAAATCTCATGTAAATCTTCACTCTTAGTTGCTATTACAAAGGATTTTTAATTGTATTTTGAACATTTGTTATTAAAAAACTCTGGGCATTATAAGAAGTTAGAATAATTTTGTGGTGCCTCTAATAAGTTTTTTTCTTTATTTAATAAATAGAATTTAATTAATGCCTATCTCAAAAAGTCTCCAAAACTGGTCACGTCAAACTAAATCAAACTGATAAAGTCACATTTATTTTGGTTCGATTTGGAAGTATTCTAAAAACCAATTATATTCAAGATTATTAAAATCGATATATTCAATTCGGTTTGGAAAATATCCAAAATTAAACCGAAATGAACATGTGAATATCCCTAGTGACATATTACTTATTCAATAATAGATAAAATTGGTAGCAATATATCAATTTTTTATAATATTTTTTTAAATATTTACAACTTCAATAAGGTATCACATTATTGAAATGCATCATAAATTAGGGCATTGCATCTACCCCTAATACCAAATATTCGACCTCGAAAATTATTCAAACATGTAAAAGTATAAGATTATTAAAATTAAAATAACTAATTCTGCTTAACTCTCAAAATTTATAATTAATTTGAGTACTTTCTTATTAGAAAGTTTTTCTTGTACACTGGCTCTTTTTTATAGAGGCATCTTTCTTTTCCAATTTTATGATTCTTTTATAGATATTTTTTATTATTAAAAAAACTAAATAGAAATTGGATTTTTCATTCAAGCCCTTCTATCAAATGAAACCAAACAATTCCAATCACCCAACTATTTTGCATTGTTTAAAAATGAGTTCTGTCCATTTAGACACGGCAAGTAAGACACTTTTCTATTTTTTATTTTTTTATTTTTGAGTCAAAATTTTGATTTTTGAATTTATTTTAATATTTTATTATTTTGAATATTCAATTTTACTTTTTATTTTTAAAAAATAATTCAGATAATTAATTTTTTATTTACCCATTTAATTTATTTGCCTAAAAAAGAAACTTTTACGCGTAAAGTTACTTGCGGCCGGTAAGATTTGTCCAATAGAAAGCGGAGAGCAGAAAAACAGCCCCTCCTTGGAAGTTGAACGGCAGTTAAACGACGTTAACCGGCATTCGAAATTCAGTCCTTTACTTTTACCCCATGTTCTATTATCAGATGTCTGCAATCTTCTTTATTTCAACATCAAATTTCTTTTTTCCAGTGAGAATACGGAAAGAGAAAGTGTTGGGTGCTTCAAGTAATCAATCCTTCCTCAGGCAGAGGATTTAGGAGGAGGATATATAACGGATACATCGGATCGACAGGTGGGGTGTTGGTAGGGGCAAGAGATGGCTGCTGAGACCAAATCTACTACGTTGAAGGTTAAGCCCAGCAGTCAAGACGTTTCGTCCAGGGCCAAACTCGATTCATCTATAACCAAGAAGAAGATTATCGATAGCTCGACCAAACGCCCTGTTGATTCCAAGTCCAATTCTTCCACCACTATTACAAAAACAGAGGTAACCAACTGCAGAACAAAGCTATTGCTCTCTTCGATTCAGATTTGGGAATTTTCTGGGAATTTTTTGGAGACCGAATGACGTTTTATGGGTTAATTTCACTTTTTCTGGAAAATTGGAAGATGCAGTTCGGGTATTCTATGTTTAAGCAAATAATTTTTGATGAATTGGCTGATTTGGATATGGGAGTTTATGCAATCCCTCTTGAATTAAGGATTTTGGGGATGCCCTTTTGTGTGCTTTGGTGGAATGTGAAACTAGCCGAAGTCTTTGCCTATTTATACACTGGATGTAGTTTTTTGTGCATGAGCAAGATGTATATATTCTGTAATATGGGTTATTTATGATTTGCGTCATGGTGAATCCTAGTGTTTTCAAGTGAAGGTGAAAGCAAAAATATGGTCAGTTGTTGATTTAGTATGGGAATTAGCGTTATCCCTCTTGAAATAGGGGACTTTTGAGAATATCCTTTCGCGGTCTTTTGATGGAATGTGACACTAGCTATAGTCTGCCTATTTCTTATATATTGCATGTATTTTTCGGATATAAGTAAGATATTTTTTCTGCATATGCATTCTTCATAATAAGGGGCGTGATGAGCTCTAGTGTTTTCAAGTGAAGGTAAAAGCAAGAACAACATCAGTATCTAGTTCATCAAAAACAACAACAAAAAAAACTACTGTCAAGACTAGAGAGAAGAAAGTTTACAGCTTGCCCGGCCAGAAGTATGATGTTCCAGAAGAGGTTCTGAATCCATTAAAGTTTTCAATTCTATTATTTGCTAAACATTTATATGGCAACCAAATCCCATTTATTTCTTGTGGTTCTGCTTCTTGTTAACAGAGAGAGCCCTTGAGGATATTTTATGAATCACTGTCAAAGCAGATACCTTCAAGTGAAATGGCTGAGTTTTGGTGAGTTCTCATCAGCTTCATGGTATTTGCATGTTAAAGTTAATTAAGCGTTGTCTTTTATAGAGTTACTCTTACTGAACTTATTCCAGACCGTAAATATCTCTATTTCTACAATTTTCAGATATTTATCTATTCCTATATTACCTTTCAAGGTTTTGGATTGCTTGTACAATCAAGCAATCATCTTTAATATATGCTAATGCTACACAACATGTTGCTAGGAATACTTTTAGATTGCTTGAAATGATCTTAAGAAGGGAGGATAATACTGTTGGGTGCTTTGCAAGTTTTAGTTTTTGCATTTATATCTTACATAATTCTGTTGAAGAGAGGATATAGTTTCCTCTACTCCCCCAACTTCTTTTTAGGTCATGGAGGTTCGTTCTTTCCATGAGAAAGTGTTTGGGTGTGCTAAAGTTTCTCCGGAATTGTGCTTTTGGTGCAGAAATTGGTGCATGTTAATTGCCTACTTGCTTAGGAGGTGGCAAATCCACATTAACCAGTGCTGTACACCAAGCAAGACTGTATTTGTTAATTGTTTCCAATCCATAAGCATGACAATGGTAGAATTTTTTAAGGCTCTGATGATATTTTGCAGTGGTTATTACTGACCAGTGTAAAAGGTTTGATCCAGTCTTGGAGAGAATTAGATAGGAACAAGTAAGCAGGCTTCTTTTGTTGTGTCTTTAGGCTTTGATGTGAGTTATTCTGGGGTCAGCAGCATTGGAAGACTTGTATAGGGCCGAAGTCCTAGTTTTATTTTAAGGCAAGATGTTTGCTTATGCACAGTTGGTTCTTGTGTAAAGCTGATGTTCTTCAAGCAGTTTTTGGCCTTCTTCTTTGTCCATCAGGAGGACAAAATTCCCAAGGAGGTTCAAATTCTTGACCTCTCCTAAAGGAGATGAAAGAAAGCTGCCTCGCCAAAGGACTTAAGTCAATGTTTTGGAGTTTGTAGAGAGGCCTTTTACCAAAAATGAATAAGAGGCCTTGAAAAAATAATTGCATTTTTATATTACAAATTTAGGCCATTGTTTTTCTTACAGTCCACATGGGTGGCATCCTCTTGGTGCCTTTCTTTATATTTCTTTTATGTTTCATAGGAAAAAGCTTTTTCCTTACTTGAATGATGTCACTGTCCATTAGCATTTGATATTAAAAGGAGTAGCTTTTGCTTTTCTAGGACTAGATTTACATTTCTTCCTTTCTTGACTTCCTAGTTCTATGATTGCCAACACTCTAGGTCATAAATTTTTTATAAGAAGCAGGACACTGGTTTGCATATGTTTGAGATTTGACCTTTCATGAAGTCCCAAGTGGTGGCAGCATTTGCATTGGCTTCTGAAGTCATTTGACCTGGGTATCATGAATTTGAATTGCTCCGTAGTGACCTGAGTATCATGAATTTGAATTGCATAAATAATTTCTCCCTTTTGGAAGTGGGCCACCTATTGAGCTATACTTCTTACTTTCAACCTTTTAAGTGCCAGGTGGTTTAGGCTTTTCCCGGAGGAAGCAATTTTAGCACCTTGTCAAGGTCAGTATCACTGAGCTAGGTGGCCTAGTGACCAAGAAACTGGTTCTGTAATGGTTGTGGAATTCAGACAATCTGCATTTCCTTGTTATATTGTAATAAGAGGATATACTCTGTATCTGCATCTGAGGTATAATTGTGACAGTACAATTTTGTCACCGAACATGTAGGCAATTTTTTTCTCCCAGTAACTTTGGATTTAACTACCTTTTGATGTTTACATCCATTTGCCTCTCATGTATTAAGTATTGAATGCCTATTAGCTTGTTTGAAGCCTACTTCTCGCATAGACCAAGGCAAGCTTGGGGTTTACTATTCATATAAGCTTTTTGGCAATGGATCCTGTAACTTTGGTACCTAGCCTGTATGATGTTGGTGGCATTAACCTCTGAAAACATGAACTAGAAAATTGTCCTTTTTTTTATTGTTCTTTGTTGTATTCATGTTGATTATTCTCCTCTAAATTCTTTTTCTTTCCTCTCTTCTGAAATTTGATTGGCACTGGTAAATTGGAAATTGTAAAGAAGAAAAATGAAAAAAGGGATTTTGAAATAGTGCATTCCTGAACCTTCTGCAACTGAGTTTAGGCCCTTTAGGGTGCATTTAAATCTTGTGTCTTTTGTGGGTTATTGGATTAATAGGATAACTTCATAAACATTTAATCAGATGGGGCGCAGACTTTGTTTGAATTAGATTACCAATTTGGTCAATGGAGCAAATGTAGACTTTTGGTCTTTTATTTTGCTTTCATTGGTGTAATTGAGAATATGATCTCTGATAAAGCAGATTGGAGATGCATAATTCATGTCACTAGGCCTGTGTAATTGCAAAAAGGCATGGTTGAAAGGTTTCTGGAATATTTTAAATGAAAAGGTTCCTTTCTGTTTTTTGGAGTGTCATGGTGGTAGAGAATATGAGGATGTGGTAATCTACAAATGTCTATTTCTTCTCATATCTAATAGAGACGAGAGAGGAGAGTTTGAGATTTGTTTTTGGAACATGTTTAAAGGGTGATTACCGGGATGCTAAATGCTATCTGATTGCACAAGAAGCGCAGAGTGAGCATTGAGATGAGGGAGGAGGAGGAGGAGGAGGGGGGGGGGGGAAGAATCTTTCACTGTCAAAAGATCCATTAGCTATAGAACAATTGTTGAAAATCTATAATAGATGCCTATTGCTTCCCATGGCACCAATTCTGGAAATAAGAATGGCAATTTCTAAACTGCGTGAGTTAGACTTGTGTTAGCCTGCTAGAAGCCATTTAAATCATGTCATTACAGAAACAAGCTAAGCTGACACTTTGAAATTCTATATGGAATTCTAGTATTCAACTTCATAAGGTAAATACACCAGTCAGTGGGATTATATGAAAAGCCAAGCTAATTGATGTCAACTCAAGATTGGCTTATTTGGAGCTTCTCAGGAGTGGTGAGTTAGTTAAATACCACAAGGATGGGTAGATTTTTTATGTTTCTTAATTGTCAAGCTAATCTGGACAAGCCATTACTTGGCTTGGCTTAACTTGAGTTGTGTACAACTTTATTTGAAATGATTTACTAAAATCTAGTTCTCCACTTCTGTTATTTGACTAAATGCTAAATGCATTGTCAAAACTAACCTCTTAATGATATATTCCAGATCATATTTCAATCAGATTTGCACTGATTGTGCAGACTATTGATCATTGATGCATTAGGTACTTGCATTTGGTTTACTATTCTGTATGAGACAAGGCAAGAAAAGCATTGTTTGAATTGTTTTCAAGAATTTGGCATTCAGGTGTCTCTTTTGACAAAGATGTACTAATAGATGCTTTTTTCCGTGTAAAATTCTTGTAAATTCTTCCATTAAAAGGTAGAGCCGCCTTGCTAGATGACTGAATCAAGAGCAGCAACTACTTCAAATTAAGACTTTAAGTGGGATGGATTTAGGTGATATCAAGAAGTATTTTTGGAGTTGCTGGATAAAAAGATGTGTGGCCAATGTGGGTGCCTTTTTACTCGTTGATGATCATGGCACATATCTGGACTATTTCACTACATATCCGGAGAGTCTCTGTTCTAGTCTGTTCCCCTGAACCAAATTGCATCTCAGTTTTTGTAGGCCAAAACCTTAAAATAATTTCGGGTTTGCTGTGGTCTTCTCATGGGTGTACTGTTAATTTATAATTTCCTTGACCTGACTATTGAGAATCTGAGTCATAATGCATTAATCAACATTTACACTGGATGTAGGTTCTGTGGTCTGCCATCAGTATATCGTTAGACATTCTTAGATGTTACACTACTATGAGTCTCAAGTTGTATTGCATTCCTCACATAGGTCATGAGGTGGGACATACGTGCATCCAACAATGCAATATGTGGTGTAGTTGGGTAGACAATTTGCCTATTTGGACGGAGAACTGAAAACACTTGCATCAGTACTGGAATTTCACAAAAATCAAGTTTTAAGATTGATTAGATGCAAATACAGCCAGCAGGGCTTGAATATGACAAGCCAGGGACTCAAAGCACAGCCCTGGCAAGTAGTGAAATGTGGCTACCAGAAAATTAAAGAATTTGAACTTTTAAATTCTCAAAAACATCCTCAATACAGTGATTGGATCCCTAGTTTAGTGCTTCTGCGTGGTCAGATCAAAATCATCCTTCTTACATAAAGTCAAAAGAAAATGAAGACATCTTTCTTTACACCTTTTTAAATATTGAAAATGAGTTGCTGTGTTTGCTAGAAAGCTCAGCCCCTATGTAGTTAAAATCAGTGGACATGGAAGTGATTTATGATGAGAGCTTGGTCATCTTTTTTCCTCATCTGGAAACCACAACCATTCAGAATACGAGGCATAAAGTAAATTTCCAAATGTTCCTTAATTATCCCCAACTTCATTCCTTTGTTAAATAAACCTTGAATTTCAAGGAGGTCTATGGTTTGAATGAGGAGGTGGATTCTCATCATCTGATTAATCGGTTGATAATGTCTCATTCACAAGACTTGGGGAAGTTGTTGAGTCAATAGCATAAAGCAAAGAAGATAGAAAATGACCAAAACGCAATGCTTAATGGCAGCAGGCAAGTGACACATGTCTTATCATCCAATCATCTGTTAATCTGTGTCCTACATGCAATTATTTATTGAGAAGTTTCTCAGAAGGCAAGCAGCTGAGCACTTACCTTGAAAGGTAGTTTCCTTACAACAAAAGAAAAAAATTAAGAATATTTAACATGCAAGTTAAAGGAAATTTCCATTCCTAAACTCTTTTACTAAACCTAGTTAGCATGCATTTTGTTCTCAAGAATCAGTCCTAAATCTTGATTGCAACGATACCACAAGAGTTTGGGGTCTTAATCTGGTGGCTAGAGACAAAGGTTATGCTTTGGCACTTCAGAAATGATCCTTTAGCAGCTTTGAACTTTTCCTACTAAGAGATACTCTAATTTATATTTCCTCGGAGCTCCTACAAATTCAGCTTCTCACCAAAATAATTCAGCTTAGGGCATGGGGTTTTCTACTTATAGTCTCCGTTGTAGGTTACTCTCATGGTGACTGAATGAGGCTTCTAGTGGTTGGATTTTGTCATGATGAAGCTAGTTGTCTGCTTTCTCCGTTGTGAGTTGAATCTTCAATTCCATGGCTTTAGTACCAACTCATCATTTTCTTTCAGCAGTTGGATGGTCGGATTACTAAAAAGAAATTTCAAGCCCTTTCTTTTCCCATTTAATTAGGCTTCTTGCTTCATTAAAATGATCCATCTGCCCCCAGTCTACTGGGGTCTGGATGTAACCTGCTATAGTGAACTTCTTCTCTACGATGTAACCAAATCATACTTGTTTCTGGCACTATATTGCCTCAATGAAGTAAACTCTTCTTTCTCTATTGACCAAGATTTATCTTGCTCCTACAGTTCCAACAGCCATGATTTTTCGATAAAGGTAATCCAAATTACCTCATATGTCATACCTGTCACCTCTGCTGAAGTGGAACCCAACCTCATTCTGTTATTTCCCATACCATAATTGCCAGTGACCTCCACTACACTCTTGATCCTTCCAGTGACTGTTGGACTGGCAACAGAGCATCAGTGGTCCAGCCTTGAGTTGACCGCAAATAACCTCTTTGTATTTCTAATATAGATAAACATTATGGAGTTTTCTTTATCCATGGGGTATCGAATTCCCACCTTATTTAATGGCTGACATATCTAATATTTATTTATTCTTTTTAATCGTATAAACAGAAACAATTTCTCTTGGATGGTTTGACTGATAGTGGTAGATACAGAAATTTATCTACTTATTTATTTGCCTTGGGGCAATATATATTTCTCCTACCGAGTGAATAAAAATTTACATAAACATTCAAAATTTTCAAGTATGTGGAGGCACGCTCCTAAAATCCATGGGGAAGCTATGAGAGATATATAAAGACCCCTCTCGATTTCAAAAATTCCACGGAGGCAATTGACCCCATTCCCCCAGTATGCGTCCAACCTTGTTTATGAAGTCATTAGGGTAGGATCTATAGGACAAGAGATGTGTTAAATAAATTTTTTGTCTATCTATATTTATCTTTATGTTTTGTCTTATGTTTTTATTTTAGATGCCGCGCGGGTTCTGGAAGTTAGAGTTCATTTGTCTTTATGTTGTGCAATATGATTGAAGAGATAAAACTGCTTACCAGATGGAGATATTTCAGCTATTGTGTTGAGAAACTTTGAACAGGGGTCTATGGGTCGACATTCATTACTTGAATGATAATGCAATTTTCTCTTGCTTTGATACAAGATAATGCACATTATTATGTTGTAAACCTATACCAGGCAAGTTTTAATGTTTAAAATGGCAATTGAATCACAATGGTCCCCAAAAACTAGGATGATGGAACATGGCTTGCTGTCACCGGAAAGAGCAAGGAGGGCTTATGAGAAGAAGCAGATGAAACAAAAGCAACTTCGGATGGGGACTCCTATAAAATCTCCACCAGCATTGTCATCAAGTAAACCTGAAAGTTCAAAAAGGGCCCAAGTGTCAAAGAACGGTGAAGTAAAAGTGAAGAAAAGAATCATCGACAGTGATGATGACGACGACTTTATATTGAGTCACAAGAAGAGGAAAGGGTAAGAAAAGCCAGCCCTTCTTGCTATTTATGGCTGTGTATTTTAGACACTTGATTTTACTTGAACCCTCAAAATTTAACTGTAACGAGGCAAGTTGCTGTAATCTGTCAAACTGACGATAGATTGAGACAATTCTTTACATTGTCTGTGTACGGAAGCAATAAAATCAAGGAAAAAAGAAAGGTAAACGCTAATTCTTATATCTTGATTTGAGCATGTGACATGTCGCACGGTTCTTGATCGGAAATTGTAGTAGCTTCTAAAACAATAACTTTACCGAGGCAAAAGAAGTGAGCTGTGTGTAAATGCTCTGTCATTTATTTGCTCATTGTGATGTTAATGTTTTTTGTTTCGCGGTTTTGACTATTTAAGATGAACCTAGGATTTCAACATTGATTTGTAGTGAGATTCTCTTGCTCATAACCCAGATGCTTCTATTCTTGAATTTGCATCTGTAACAGAGTAAAACTTTACAGGTTGCCTGGATTGAGGCTTGGGATGCTGGATCTGGAAAAAAATAGGCTTTTGATAGTCATTCCAACATATCAAAGGATGAATGGTGGAAAATCTGTATAGGTCATGCTTTATATCTCTGGTTGAAGGACTGCAATATAAGCCACACTTGTATCAACAAACCTATCCAAGTTAGTTAAGTGGTTCACAAACCTAATATGCACAAACAGACAGCGACGGTGTACGGAGCATGGCCCAAATAGATTAACCTAGAAGAGAAAATCTTGTGACGTCCAGATAACAGGTCTGGATTTATTTAACGAGGAGATGAGCCATTGATGGAGAGTCCCCATCCTGAGTATGGAGTCTGACAAATATGTTAATTGTCACTTGCTCATGATAGCAACAGGTTTCGAAGGAGAACGAACATGCAATTTGTAGAAAAGCATGAAAATCTCACGGGAGCACTGGCACCAGTAGGCAAAGCGGTCACGACTCAGATCAGAACATGAAGTGCCGTATAGGGGAGAGTACGGGCAGGTTATGTTAAAAAATTAACCCCCATCTGATATGAGCAGGTCATATTATTCTTTCAAACTGGTGGTCTAGCTTGATCAAGTGCAGAAGAATTAAAAGGTAGATTAATGGGTTGGTCTGCTATAAATAAAATTTAATAAAAATTAATCTATTAGATTCAACACATTATTAACCAATTTCTTTTTTTTTATTTAAGTATCCAATACAATAAAGAAAAAAATTTATAAGAAAAAACAATTTATTTATTTTTTTAATAGAATATGCATCTAATTAAATATAAATATATGTGTCTGTATCTGTATATGTATGTATGTATATATGGTGGGTGGGTCTGAGTGTTAACAGGTTTTTAAAAATACAACCGGTAAATAGAACAGAAAGACATAAAATGGGGTACATTCAATGCGATAATTATGAAGTAGAAAAGCTTAGGGTAAATTACACTTATACCCCCATAAATCTCATGTTGGTATCATTTTGTAGCTTGAGCTTTCAATTTGTAATTAGCATTGGCCGTGCTCTACCCAGAACATTAAATAAGGTGGATCTGTATTATGTAAAGAATATGAAGTATGTATTACCTAAATATGGCATAAAAATATATAAAATATATATAGAATTGATTTGACAATGTGAAATACTTACATCAAATTTTATTGCTGTTGATTTAGTTAAAATCTAATAAATGTGCTTTATATATATATATATATATATATAAAGAGAGAAAAGTGATCAATTAACACTAGTGTAAGTGTAAAAACACTTGTACTAAATTTTATATTATTAATTTGATCAAAATTAATAAATGAGATTAATTAATATTTTAAAAAGAAATATGATTATAAATTAATATAGTGGAAAAAATGTAATTAATCTCATCAATTATATTTGACCAAATCCACGGTGTAGAATATAGTGTAAATATTTTACATTTTCACTTGTATTAATTACACACACACACACACACACATATATATATATGAAAAGTGATCAATTGACACTAATACAAGTGTAAAATAGTTACACCAAACTTATGCCGTCAATTTAATCAAAATCCAATAGATATGATTAATTAATATCTTAGAAAATAGTTATAATTAATGTTTTTGAAAAACAACTATAATTAATGTTTTGAAATACTTTTGGAATTAATACAATCTATTCGATTTTAATTAAATCAACGATACATGATTTAGTAAAAGTATTTTATATTTACAATGTAAATTGATGCTTTTTATATATATATATATATATATATATATATATATATATATCTTGGAATTTCAATTAACTGGCAACACTAAACTTTCTTCTCTGCTTTGGGTATGTACCTCTCAACTCTCACCTACACACCGCTCTCATGGCTCACATTTATAGAAGAGGGCAAATTACATGTACACTCCATTTCATCTCGGCATCACTTTGACCCTTGGGTTAGTCTAAATCTTGCGACTCTAGGCCAACTATGGAAGTCACATGAATGGCACGTGACCGAGAGTTATTAAGTTGTTGATGGAAGGAAGAGTGGACAGAAATCGGGTTATGGAAAGAAGTTTGGGGGGGCAAAATGACATCAAGATAAAGATTCATGAGGGTTTAAGTGTAATTTACTGAAAAATATATGATCAGGTGACGTTAGTACGTGCGAAGCTTTTTGTTTAATGCTCTACTGAGTCATGTATGCTCGGGGTTTCGTCGCCCACGAGGGGTTGGACCGCAATGTTGCGGGCGCAACCCCCTTTTTCCAAGTCTTTATCGAGTGATCTCTGCTAGGTGAGGTGATGACCAAGAGATGGGCTTCTTCCTTATTTTGTTTTGTTCTTACTTTTTTCTTCTTCACCACGATGCTAGAAAACAAGAGATAGGATTTGATATATATCTGGTGGAGGTGACCATCTTGTGAATTCACATAGAATGGCCTGCATGGTCTTTGTTGGGTACTGCATTGTTAGTTCTGGCAGTGCATTGATTTCTGTTGAGGGGTGGGGATGGGGATGGTGGAGCCGTCGCCATTGGAAGGTCTGTGTTTAATAGGGGGACCATAAGTACACCCAACATGAACTACACTCCTCCTCCTCCTCCTCCTCCTTCTTGTTCCCCCAGTGAACAAGTCCAATGATCTGACACTCTGGCTATTGATTACAGTTCCGTGCTTCTTGCTGCCCCCCATTTTAGGTTTCTGTATACCACTCTTGAGCCCCATAAAACTGAAAAAGAAATGCCTGTACTGATGCAGGCTGCAGTCAGAGATTGTAAATGTTTGACCTCGGAGTTGTGTTTAATATTTCATTTAAAACAGTGAAAAACTGAGTGACTAAACATCAATAGGGGGCTGTATAGGAGGCTTTTATGTAGATAATGTGCTTCTGTTTCATCTTTTCTTTGTAGTTACATTTCTCTGTTTTGAACACATCTGTTTAGTTTTGTAGCTTTTGGTTAAAAAGCCCGACTTTTTGAAATTGGCTTTTTCAAAGTAAAAGTCAGCCATCGGTCAAAACAGGACATTCTTCGAAGCCCACATTCTCAAGGCATTTAAATGCGAGAGATAAGTCTCACGGGGGCAAAAAAATATGCTGTGATGGGAGATCAACCCACTTCCATTCAAAAATGCTTGAGGTGAAAAGTTGAACCAAGATCACATTCTTGTACAGGGTGAATGATGATGATAATTATGGATTCAGATTCTATCCACTTGTGACGAAAATTAGAGGGACTAAGGATATGTTTTGGATGCTCTGTTTACAGAAAATATGATTGAAAATGCATTTGGTAAGTCCACTTTTTGCTATCGAATGTATTTCCCTCTCTCTCTCTATATATTTATTGTTTAAATTTTAATAATTTAAATAAACAAAGACAATAAAGGAAAGTGGTCGACCTAGTTCCCATCAAAACTACAAAGCTTAGTCGTCGGCTACGAGCCAATTCTTGAGGTGGAAAGTTGAACCAAGATCAGATTCTTGTCCAGGATGGATGATGACGATAATTATGGATTAAGATTCTATCCAATTGTGATGAAATTAGAGAGTTTAAAGACCTGTTTGAGTGCTCTGTTTACAGGAAATAGATCGAAAATGCGTTTAACAGGACTGTTTTCTTATAGAATTTATTTTTTTATTTTCTCTGTTTATATTTATTGTTTCAATTCCAATATAAAATAAATAAAGACAATAAAGAAAATTAGTCTCTCTAGTTGCCATAAAAAAGAGAAGGATAGTCGTCACCTAAGAGCCAATTCTATACGTGATTACAATTTGAACCACTAAAAGGATATTGTCATGCATATCTACGTTGCGCCTTCCTCCAAGAATGCTCGTTTTCTACTTGAAGCTACAAAGAATTTGGCTAATGCCACTACCAAAAATGGCCTGGTCACACCTGAAACTGCGCGAAGCAGCACAGAAACATCTCGCCGTGTATGACGGAAAGTGGGCTTTCAAGATTCTATGGGTTAGATTGAATAGTGTGCCGAAGTTTTGCTCAATCCAGAGAACAGTCAAATGCGTCATCCCCTTCGTCAGAATACTGATTCCAACTGACCATGTGGACAGTCAACTCAGACGTGACCTGGCATTGGGAAAAAAAAAAGGTTCCACTTCGAAAGTGAAATGCTATGCAACGTGAGACAAAAAGGCCTGTCACTAAAATTGAAGTTCAGGGGTAGTAATTCATGTTTTCTAAATCATCTTGCATTCAGGGTTCTGTTAAAATATCTTAGTTTTTCCAGATTATTTGGCATTTAATTTTGCCAGCATGGACTTTTATTAATTTTTTTTAATTTTAATATCATAGAATTGTTAATTAATTAAATTTTAATTTAAATACCATGTGAATTTAATACAAAAATTAATATTCAAGTTTAGTCGAAATATTTAATAAATTATATTCGAGTATAAATATTATAATTTGAAATAAGTAAATTAAATAAAAAAAATTAAGTAATGTAATCTATTAATACTACGAATTCAAATTTTAATAATATTTTTATTAAATTAATAATTATATATATAATAT